AATAAAATAAAATAAAATAAAATAATACCGCAATCATCTTTTCCTTCCCCAGATTCCCACACTTGCTTATCTTGCTCAATTTTCCCCTTTTTTAATAGCAGTTATCACCTCCTAATAAACTATAGCAGGTATAGATTTATTATGCCTTTTAAAAATTGTCTGACTCCCCCTACTCCACATGTACACACATGTACACACACCCACGAGTATACAGCGTTCCAGCCCTCTCCTCAGGGTAAGGGATCTTAGTTTTATGCTCTAATGTTTGTAAGGAGAGACACAGGTGCACGCACACACACGATGAAAGAAGGAAGGAAGGAGGATCGTTACTAAGACTGTATTTTACACATTATAACAAGTAATTAAGAAAACAAACTTGTCATTGGATAGTGAGGCATCCGTGCCTCTTTGGTGGTTGGCAGCAGAAAGCAAGAAGAGGAAGTTACTAGAAGGCCTGGGAGTAGCTCACAGAACAGGAGAGAAGATCAAACATTTGGGCCTTACAAAGCAGTGTCCTCAAAACATTTTTACTCTCATAACATCCTAGAGGAATATGGTAACGCTATGTATAATCTTGTACATCTTTTGTTTGGTATCTAAACTTATACAGCATAAGTTTTAAAATTTCAAAGGATGAAATTTCTAGCATATGGCAAATATTGATGTTTCAAAATAAAATCTGTTATACCATCCTCTTAAGTGTATCAGATGGAATCTAAATTCCAAGCACTCTTCTACCCACCATCATCCAGTCAGAAATCTCAGACAGCCCAAGACATGAGCAGTTCTTTTTGAGTGGCTGAAAATTTTACATGATTCCCTTTTTTCTTGTTTTTTTTTTTTTTTACTGGTATTTCCATTCTACCGACTGTGCAGAATTTTATATTTGAAAGTCGTTTATTGGTCATCTTGTAATACTTCTCTGTAATAAAAATTTACATTTACATTTACATTTACAAATATTTAGATTTTAACAATTTCTTGAGATCATAAGCCTCTAAAGTATTAAAAATTCTTCCATAGTTATTAACCAATTTTAGAAGTATGAAATTAATACAGCATATGTATTTTATATTTTTTGATAAATCCTAATTAAATACAAAAGTAAAATTTTATTGACCACCTCTCCCAAAGAGATGGGTGGTGCTGTTATATTTATTTGCCTTTGTAATTAATTTATATATTCATGAAAGAATGTTACTGCTAAACTGAGACAGACTGCAGCATCAATGCTTTTCCTGTTTTTCATTGTTATTGTAACTGCTGAGAAATCTTGTTCACATAGATGGGAATGGAATAATAGGGTTGTCAGATTTAGCCTCCCTTGTCCCCCCAATACAGGACAACCAGTTCAATTTAAATGTCAGATAAACAAAGAATAATAATGTTTAAAGTGTATCACAAACATTACATGGAACATACTCATAATAAATTGTTTTTCATCTAAAATCCAAGTAAATCCTAGAAGGAGCTTTATCACAGCAGTATTATTCAATGCTTTAAACTCCTGAGTTATAAGCTAAAAATTATATAGTGTTTGATCAAAAAAATCTTTTTAAGTGATCTGTCAGTGTCCTCCTTCAGTTGTGTTAAAAGCGAAGAGTGGAAGCCACCTGATGTGTAAAAAATGAAATCATTGAATTATTAGAGTCATTCATTTTCTTAACACTTACATTCAATACTTTGAATTGTCTCTTTGTTTTTGCATCCTAGGAGAAATATTCTGCTCAGATACTGAATGGGAGAGGAGTGTGTCTTTCTTTTGCAAAGTAGAATGATAATTGTGACCAAGGATATTAACCACAGTTACTGTGTCCTTATGGAAGGTGAGAATCTGGACATTTAAAAATACCACCCACAACCCCTCAAACACAGCCACTGAGAAGGCTGTGTGTACTCTGGGTCTCAGGGCATTTGGGCAGCTGTAACAAAACACCACAGACTGGGTGGCTTATAAACAACAAACATTATTCCTCACAGCTCTGGAGACTGGGAAGTCCAGGATCCAGGTGCCAGCAGATTCAGAGTCCGATGACAGCCCGCTTCCTTGTTCACACATGGTTGTCTTCTTGCTATAACCTCATGTGGCAGGAGGGGTGAGGAAACACTCTGGGGTCTCTTTTGTAAGGGCACTAATCCCATTCAGGATGGCTTCACCTTCATGACCTAATCACCTCCCAAAGGTCCTACCTCCTAATATCATCACCTCAGGGAGTAGGACTTCAACCTGTGAATTCTGGGGGGACACAAACATTCAATCCGTAACAGTAATGTACATGCCAGCCCAGAGTATAAGTGCTTCTGTTTCAGAACTAGATTGCCCTCTGCTCAGGCAGTTTTCCTGCCTTTATTTCACTTTTTTTTTTTTTTTGCCAGCAGGATTGGCCATAAATGAAAAAAGAGGCATATGTGGCAATAAAAATGATTGTGGTATCTTACCAGCCACAGGTGGGTGTGGGACCTGAGTCCCCTCAAATGTGATCCTTGAACCAAGGAATCTGGCACCCTCCTCCAGCAACCTCGTGCATCCTGCGAGACTCCTGGAGCTGCCCTTGTCCCTGCCCTTTGCAAACCTGTCTTGCAACAAACTGGGTTGAACCCCCAGTATGGCTGTATTGGGAGATGAGGCCTCTGCAGAGGTAATTGAGGTAAATGAGGTCACAGCAGTGGGGCCCTGATCAGATAGGATCAGTGTTCTTATTAGACACCAGAGAGCTTGCTCTATCTTGCGTGCAACACATAGAAAAGACCACATGAGGACACAGTGAAAGGGTAGCCATCAGCTAGCCAGGAAGAGAGCCCATACCTGGAACCAGAGCAGCTAGCATTTGATCTGGGACTTCTGGCCTCCAAACTTCCAGAAAATAAACCTGTTGTTTAAGCCCCCCAGCCTGTGGTGTTCTGTTTTGGCAGCCTGCGCAGACTAATAAAGTTAACCAGAAGAGTGCAGAGTAGCTAAAATGCACCGGCTGAACTGGATAGAGATCAAGGTTGATGTGAATTAACGTGAATGTTAGAGACTGTCACAGTTAGCCTCAGGGGAGGAAGAGCCTAGAAAGGTACTTGTTAAGTGGGTTTTGTTGTACTGCTGAGATCTGAGTGATGAGAGCAACTTAAAAGAGGTTCTGTATGCTGAGCACTGACCGCAGGGCCCAGCCCTGCTGGGGTAGTTGCCACCCTGTCCAGGGATGCTGTGAAGGATGGAAGGAGGACAGGGCAGGCCTCTCGGCAGTCAGCTCTGACCCTGGCTTATTTGGCGCTCTAGGGGAACGAATCCAGAACCCTTAAGATTAAGCCCTAATGGCCTTTTCAGCAGAAACCACTTGGAACAACCAGAATAAGAGAGCTCCACGTTTCTTCCTTACATCCTTGTCGTTTCTTACCTTTCCAGTCCCACTACCTCTCACACCTGTCCCTGCCTGCCACACTCCAGTCCTTGGAGATGGTACTTTCACATTTCCAATTATTTTTTTGAAAATCATAGATTCACTTATTTAGATCTGAACTTTATAGTACAGGACTTTATAAATGGGACTATGGCTTTTTTATAGGAATGTTGGTAAATATAGCAGAGGGAAAATAATATTTGATGACAGACATCCCTTTCCAGCTTCCTTTTATATATTTGTTGTGTTGACTTGAATTATCAAATTCAACAAATAACCTATATAATTCTGATACTGTGCAAGTTCCTAAATGAGGGATAACTCTTGTATTTAATGAATCTCTGTTAATTATAAATTCTTCCCATTCATTTCCACAAAGGAGGTTTGACTTCAGCTTTTTTTTAAAAAAAAAAATAAGGCAAGTTGGTATATAATTATATTTCAGTAACTTTCACTGAGATATAATTGACATAAACATTATACTAGCTTCAGGTGTATCACATAATGATTCGATATTTGTGTGTATTGTGATCTGACAACTACAATAAGTCCAGTTAACATCCATCACCACATAGCCACAAATATTTTTTCTTGTGATGAGAACTTTTAAGATCTACTCAGCAGCTTTCAAATATGCAATACAGTATTGTCAACTGTAGTCACCATGTTGTACACTAGACTTCAGTTCTTTATCTTCATTTTTTTCCCAGCAGGTAGAGTAATTGTGTTCCCTAACATGCTTCAAGATTTCCTCTCCTAGGAAAAGGTGGTTGCTGTAACAATAATGATGAAGGTGCTGATGATAATACACCCCTCAAGTACTTATTGCATGTAAGGCATCATGCTGACTACTTTACATTACATCATTTAGTCCTCACTCAACGCCAGGGGCTAGTTATCATTTTGTTTATGTTGTAGCTGAAGAAGCTGAAGTTAGATCAGTTTGATAATTTGCCCAGTCATGAACAGCTGGAGAAGGATTTGAATCCAGGTCTGACTCTAAGTCTGTGCTATGAACCACTTGCTATGGTTTACTGTAGCCAGTGATTAAAAGCAGTCAGCTTTAAAAGGAATCATGAGTATGTGTACTTGGGATCTATTAAACAAATGGTAAGCCTTTTATAGGGAAGTAAGCAGCTGTTGTTCTCATCTGTCCTGCATCTGTCTTCCTCATCTGTCTACTTCTCTGAGGGGACTGCGCCTTCCCTGCTGCAAGTTGTGTGATTCTGGTGGGGTTGCCCATTGCAGTGTCTGGCCCCTCCCCCAGTGGAGTGTTTGATCACAAACTTACTGCTTAAAACAGCACAAGGTTATTGTCTTACAGTTCTGGGAGTCAGAAGTCCAATGGGTCTTATGGGCAAAGGTGAGGGCATTGGCAGAGCTGCATTCCTTTTGGAGGCTCTGGGGAAGAATTCGTTTCCTTGACCTTTCCAGCTCCAACCTACATTCCTTGGCTCATGGCCCCTTCCTCACTTCACTCCAACCTTTCCTTCCATTGTGACATCTCCCTCTCTCTGATTCTGACCCACTTGCCTTCTTATAATGATCCTTTTATTATGTGAGGTAACATAGTCACCAGTTCTGAAGATTGGGACAAAGACATCTTTGGGGTTCTGTCATCCTGCTCCCATACATTCTCAGGAAGAAGAGTCTCCATGGATCACTGGGAAGGTCACTTTTAATTGCAAAGCAAAGTCTTCTTTTAGGTGGCCCCGACAGAGTTCAGGGCGAAGTTCCCCATTGCTTACCTTGGAGCGGCTGAGGGGGATTCCTGGTGTCTGGTGGGGCAGTGGCTGGCTGGTCCTTCCCCTGCATCTCTACATACTCCGCTATGGGCCTGAGGAGCCCCAGAGCTCCAGAACATTGCAGATAATTGCCATCCAGGTGCAGCTCACTGGGGAAGGGACGAAATACACTGTTCATTTGACCTTATTTCCACTTTCTCAAATTTGGAATTGAGGTCTCCACCTCATAAAATAATAGACCTAGTTATAAAATAATAAATAACCATAATAAATAATAGACTATGTCAGAAAAAATAGAACGAGTGACCATGTCAGCTGGCCAAAAACGTGCATTTAGGACAACATCCTTGATTTGCGAGCATAACTAAAGGATCTTTCTCTTATAATAAAGAAAAACAAAAATAACTACAGGGGGAAAAGATGATTCAAAACATAGTGAAAAATCAAGGGGACCCATGGTCTAGTAGGCTGTGTGCATAACTGGCTACATGATTCAAGACAGAACGGTGTGGAGATGTGGGGGTGGCGGGGAGTGGGCCCCCTCACCGGACCACACTCCGGCACACGGCAGAGCCCAGCCTCGGCCCACTCTGCGGCCCCAGGCCACAGAAGCGCAGGCTGAGGTCTCGAAGCCTCTGGTTGTTCTCCAGGCCTGAGAAAATACTCTCAATTTCTTCATTTCCAAATCTGAAAAGAAATGATAGGAGCAAATAAGTAACTTTTAAAACCACGTCACCCATTGGATTATTAATTTTAAGACACTGCCCAGGGAAGTTAGAGGCACTCTTGCTGGTCCTAGGGCCAGGGCTGCCTGTGGGGGTGGGCGGGGATGGTAGAGGTGGGCAGCCTGGGAGTGGAGGAGTAAGTTTGCAAAGTGAAATCACACCCATCGTCTCATTCATGCCAGCAGCAGCCTCTGGGGGTAGGTAGGTGTTAGGTCAGAAATCGAGGGCCAGTGAGGTAAAGGGCATCTTTAGGGAATTTGGAATGTCAAGGCTTGAACTTTAAAGTGAGGTGAGTAGAATTAATAGAAATAACTTAAAATGTATTAATTCGTTCAACAAGTAATTATTGAGGGCCAGCTACCGTGATGGCTGTGGGGATGCAGCCGTGTATGAGAAAAGGGGCACCCTGCCCACTGAACTTCACAGCCTATCAGGGAAGGCAGTGAGGGAAGAACTCCAGTCCCCCAGAGGCCGGTAACCTACAGTCTGACCAGTGCTGAGGTCTCAGTGGTGATTCCCAGCTCCCCCACCCTGACAACTCCAGGCATCTTAGCAGCCACAGGATTTCAGCTGTCAGTTAAAATAAGCTGTTTCCTTGAGATGGGAATTCCTTCATTCTTCCCACAGTGCATGTCTCTGGGTCCAGCACAGGAGCTGGAGTCTAGAGGGGTCTCTTAGCAGTGGGGCTGTTTCTGCCTGGTCCAATAGGGGAGCTAGGGAGACTCTGTGGCAGATTGTGCACTCATGGCGTGGTGTCCCTGGGACCCTAATCCTTCTGCTGCCCTGTGTTAGGAGGCCGTGGCTAAAGCTCCTCCCAGCATTTCAGAAACCTGGAGGACCTCCACAGAATATTCACTCTCCCCAGCTTTTGTTGATGGACTTGTCCCCTGTCACCACCAGGGCCCTAGTAAGACCCTAGTCCTTTTATGGGGCCTGTGTGTCACTGTGGTACCACTTCTCAGGCATGACTCATCTCACTTCACAGTCCACTGGCTTTTTGAGTACAAGGTACCACTTGGCTCTATGGGAAGAGTCATGGAATCACAGACGTGGGAAGTGGAAGAGATCATCTCAGTATAGGTCAGAGAGTTTGCATGACCTACCCCAGATCACACAAGCAGTTTGCAATTATTTATGGATGGTAAATTATAGACCCCAGCAGTCTACTATCATGGGTCAGAGGAGGGCTCTGATTCAGGCAGCTGGCTTCACATCTAGGCTCCAACCCCATGAGCTGAATGGCCTTGAACAAGCCAATTAATCCCCCTAAATTTTTCCTCACCTATAGTCAAGGGATAAAAATAGTATGTATCTATCATTATGTATCATACATCTATATGTAATGATACATATCTGTCTACTGTTGAAAGAATAAATGAGAAAAATCCATGCACTGCTTGGCACACAGTAAGCACTCAGTAACCATTAGCTGATACTATTATTATTATCATCACTACCCCTGACCTCCCCTGCCCAGTCCTCTGAAGGACTTGCTTTGCTCTTCTGTAGCATCATACCTTTCCTCTCCTCCCCTGGTGAATACTGACCCATCACCTAAGGAATTCTGGTTTCTCTTATGCAACCCCCCACCCCTAAACTGTAGATGGACATCTTTTGTGATATCCAGACTTTCTGCCTTGCGTTAGACATAATCAAGAGCATGTCTCCTCTCTGTGTTGTACCAAAGACTCCCTCAGACAGCTGCATTGCCTTAAATATACCTGTATCTTCCTTAGCAACGAGCCACATGTCTTGTACAAACTGGCCTTCAACAAATATTTGTTGAAAGAATAAATGAATGACAAGAGACTCTTTTTGAGAACCTCCCCATTTACTCAGGAACATGAGCGCTAAGGAGGTTTTGGTGTGTCCTTTTCAGTGATGACTTGATGAGGCACAAGGAACCAGAATTTTGCCCTCCCGGCCTTTGCCTCCCCAGCCGAGAGCGGGAAGGACCGTGAAGGAACTCTGCGTTCCAGCCTTACTTGCAGTAATCGAGGACGAGAGAACGCAAAGTGCTGAACTGCAGAGCTGTCCCAAGTCTCCCCAGAGACCACGCATCCATCCTGCAATCCATGAGTTTGAGGGTGGTAAATGGGCAGGTGCGCCCCTTTGATTCCAGAAGCGAAGCCTGAGAACACAAGGTAAAGAGCTCTGACACTATGCAGACCAACATGCCCTGTGTCTTAGTATGTTATTTAAAAGTCACTTATGTTAATTTCCTCAACATTTTTAACTCTAAGATAACGTTCTAATTACCCAAGGAGAAAGTAGCGTGAAAACAAAATAATTTCCCTTTAAAATGAAGACTCATTGAAGAATTACATGGGAGACGCCAAGCTTGATGGTGAGATAGGACATATTGTAGCACAATATAAGCACAAGTCTGTGGGAAGGTCATTTCTTGTGGTAACAGAGGATCCCAATGACACTTAAATCCCCACCTAACTTATAGGAGAGGGATTTTAAAGCTACAAATCGTGAAGGACACCTTTTAGCAATTAGCATCACCGCAACCTGAGGATTCCTTCAGTTCAGAATTTAAGCCTTAAAAAGGCTCTGGTGGGGTTGGGAGGATTTAGGGTTTTTTGAGGTAATGACATGTTGGTCAGAGAGAGGATTCCAAATTATACTTTGGTTGGGAATAAAAAAGCACTTGCAACCTTAACTACAGAGCTGGTGCCTGAGGCCTCTTTAATGAAAGAACATCTAGTTGGTTTGAGCGCTGGATTGGATTCTCAAGCTGCGTTTTTGATAGAGGAGGCCATGTGGCACATCACTGCTGATGTTAACGTTGGTCTCTGCAAAATAAACTCTGGACCAGGTCCTAAAGATCTCAACCAGTGGTTTGCAGTGCCATCCCTTGGGCATCATCACTGCTGCGGGCAAGACCGCAGCTGTCTTCGATAGAATTTCTCAGCAGCCTCCAGATTACCCAGAGGGCTACATTTTAAGGAACTGCTAAGGATCACTTTCAACTTTCAACTTTTAACGGACAGCATTCTCTTTCTGGCTTGAATGGCCTGGGTACCCTGACTTACCCTCTGAATAAAAACAACCCGAAATTCTGCTTATATATTTAAAATATCTTTTTTAAAAATTATTTTTAAATTGTGGTCAAATACACTTACAATCTACCATCTTAATCATTTTCAAGTGTACAGCTCAGTGACATTAAGTATATTCACATTGTTGTGCAGCCCTCACCACCATCCATCTCCAGAACTTTTTTTCATCTTGCAAAACTGAAACTCTGTACCCATTAAACAAAAGCTCCCATTCTCCCCTCCCCTAAACCCCTGGCAACTGCCATTCTACTTTCTGTCTCTATGAATTTGACTTCTCTAGGTACCTCTTATAAGTGGAATGCTACAGTATTTATCCTTTTGTGTCTAACTTATTTCACTTAGCATGAGTTCCTCAGGGGGTTCATCCATATGTCATTTTGTTTTGTTTTGTTTTGTTTTGTTTTGTTTGGTAGTAACCATCCTAGTCAATGACGTTGAGTATCTCATTGTGGTTTTGATTTGCATTTCTCTAATAATTAATGATGTTGAACTTCTTTTCACTTGCTTATTGGTTATTAGTATGTCTTCTTTGGAGAATGTCTATTCAAGTCCTTTATCCGCTTTAAAATCAGGTTGTTTTTTGTTGTTGAGTTATGGGAGTTCTTTATATATTCTGGATATTAACCCCTTATCAGATATAGAATTTGCAATTATCATCTCTCTTTTCACTCAGTTGATTCTGTCATTTGATGCACAGAAGTTTTTCATTTTGAGGTAGTCCCATTCATCTAGTTTTTCTTTTGTTGTCTGTGCTTTTAGTGTCATATCCAAGAAATCGTTGCCAAATCCAGTCTCATGGTTTTCCTCCATGTGTTCATCTGAGAGTTTTAAAAATATCTTTTTAAAATGTGTTGATTGACTGGTAGGTTAGTGAGGAATACACAAAAGACAATAAATGAGAGAAAGTGGGAACCTAGAAGGGTTACAAGGCACTGAAGCCAGCTTTCCCTTTAGGAATATCAGTAAAGGAATAGATTTTTTTTTTACATTTTTTATTGATTCATAATCATTTTACAGTGTTGTGTCAAATTGTAAAGGAATAGATTTGAACTTTGGTTTTCATGCATCACACAGTCTAGGGGATAGGAGATTAAGCCCAAGGTGAAGAGTCCAGTAGGAAATTCTGCAAAGACATGTGGCCCAAAACATAAGGTGAGCTGTAGTGCTATGCCCTCAGAGTAAGGATGAACTAGAAATAAAGCCAGCTCTGCCTTCCACAAAGGATCCCAGGGAAGTGGCCTATCTCATACTGATACTGAGTGTATGGAAAAAAATACACCCCCTGAGAACTCACAAACTAGCCATAGCACAGGTTAGCACCCTGAATTAACATCACCTGGATGGTTCCAGGAAACATCAGATCAAGAATTTAATTTCACGTAGCTCTGAGACGGCAGCATCCTGAGTATGTGGCAGAAGCAAATGCAGATCCTCTCTGGAGAAAGCAGTCTTCAAATCAGAGCTCAAGGAGTTGGCCACAACTGTTTTTTTTTTTTTTTGCAGGAAATATGAGTTTACAGTGAAAAGTAAATCACAAAAACATACAAAGAAATGTCACCATAAGTGAGAGTCAGTAGAATCAAGAGTCAGCAGTATCAGACTCCAACATAATTCAGATTATTGAAACTGTTAAATGCAGATTATAAAATAAGTTTAACATATTCGGATAAATAAAATTAGGGATTTTTTTAAAAGGCAAGAGAGGAGAAAAATGGGCACCAATGCCCTCTTCCAATCTCCACTTCCTTCCTCCTCCCTGAGAGCTATTTTATGATAAACATTATAGCCTTACCTGTTTTTTGAACTTCATATGAATGCAAGCATAGAGTATGTATTCTTTTTTTTAATTTTTGAAAAGTTTATTTATCTATTTATTTTTATTTTTCTGGTTGGGGGAGGTAATTAGGATTGTTTCTTTTTAATGGAATTACTGGAGATTGAACAGAGGACTTCATGCATGCTAAACATGTGCTCTACCACCGAGCTATACCTTCTCCCCAGTATATATCCTCTCTTCATTTGTACAACATTATGTTAGTGAGAGTCATCATATCTTATTTTTGCATAGCTGTAGTTAGTGTATTTTCATTGCTATATAGTGCTCTACTATATAAATATGCTATGATTTCTTTATCCACTCTATGTTGATAGACATTTGGTTGCTTCCAGTTCTTGGCTATTTTGACTAAAGCTTCCAGGAACATTTTGGTGTATGTCTCTTGGTGCCCCCCAGCCCCACCAACACACACACACGCGCGCGCACACACACACACACACCACGCATACGCACGCATGCACATTTATGTTTGGTATATGACTATAGAGTGGAATTGCTGGATCGTAGACTTTGGTATCAGTAGAGACTTCAATACAGTTTTCCAGATGTACCAATTTACGCGCCCATCACAGTGTATGAAAATTTCAGTTGTTCCCTATCCTCACTGACACTTGGTAATCTGCTTTTATTTTCATTCTTCCAGTGGCTATGTAGTGGTATGTCCTCATGTTTCTAATTTTTAGTCTCCTCATTCCTAATGAAGTTGGACATCTTTTTATATGTTTATTGGCTGCTTGATATCTTCTTTTGTAAAATGCCTATTCAAGTTTTTGATCATGTTTCTACTGGATTATTTCTCTTTTTCTTACATACCCTGCATAGGAACCTTTTTGGTTATATATGTAGCACATTATCTTTTCTAGGTCTGTGGCTTGCCGTTTTACTTTCTTAATGGTAACTCTTGTTGAACATTAGTTGTAATGGAGTCCAATTTATCAGTCTTTTATGGTTGGTGCTTTTTGTGCCTGCTTGAGAAGTTTTTCTCCACCCCAGTCACGGTGGTATTTTCCTTTATTATCATCTGGAAACTTTATTATAGTTTTGCCTTAAATTTGTAGTCCATCTGGAATTGATTCTGGGGTATAATGTGAAGTAGGAATCAAACTTCTTTGCCTCCCATACTGTGTATTTTAGTTCCTCTTGTTGTCCTCAGTGAAAGGATTGATCTGAATGATCTGATTTGCCCTTTCTGAAAGTGAAGTTCTATGTATGTTCACAAAAATGGAACTTCAATTAAAAAATGATGATTAATCTATAAGTGTATATTCAGCAAAACTATCATTCAAGGATAAAGGTTATGTGTGATATGATAGCAGTCAAAATTAGTGAACAAGGAGACATTTTGACAACATAATGTGAATAAGAGTAAGTCGCAAAATCATACACAAAGTACAGTGTCATGCATGTAAGTAAAAACATACATGCACATGTAATACAAGTGTGAAAACATGCATGGGGTTGTTACACATCAGCTCGAGGCTGGTGGTACCTCTGGGAAGTAGCTGGGGGAAAAGAAGTGAGATGAAGCTTTAGCTATTGTGTTTATAAATATCTGCAATTTTCATTTCTTTAAACACATGACTCACGAGTCTGGCCACCTCTGGGTTGCTCAGTTGAAGGCCCCAGATGGAGATCTCTCTCCCCAGCATGTAACACTCATCCTGCACGGTCATGAGCAAAGGTTCCAAGGAAACTGGCAGGATGCTTGGCGGGGAATCATCAGGTCTTACAAGTACAAACTGGAATGGAAGAAAAAACTACAGGTGGGCATCATAAAGAGAGGGCCATGTATCTGAATATGTGGAGAAAGAGTATTGTCATTAGATAACATCAGAAGAACATTTAAGATTGTTACTGACATTGGATCAGGTGTGCATTGGGGTGATAATTCAGTACAAACTTGGGACTTCCTGCCCTGTGCAAAGCTCCATGAAAAGTCCCACAGGGCAGAGATTTTTTTCAGCATGGCCATTATTGGGTCAGGAAATCAGTTTAGTGGGTTGCAACCAGCTTAATTTTTTTTTCTTTAATGAAACAGAAAAGAGAAATTATGTGAGTGTATCCTCTGCAGTAAGGAATAATTGTCTCATGAGAGTTTTATTTGAGTGACGTTCAAAATCAAAACAGAGACCCAACCGAAGCAACCAGCCCAACAGAAACAGCTCTTATGGTCACACTGACTCATAACAGTGCTTATAAACTGGGTCCCGATGTTAATTGTGTTTCTAATGGGAAACATTGCTGACGAGGTTATAGATTTGAACAAGATTTATGATTAACCCTTATGATTAAGTGGTGGAGGCTAATTATAAATACTACCATAGGAAAAATTAATTAGTGATTGTTTTACCACCAGAAAAGATGGCCTCCATTGGGGTGAGCTGGGAGATGTGCCGGGGAGAAGCTACTGCAAAAGAAGGAATCAGAGAGACCTAGGAGGGCACAGAGGGGAGAGGAGAGTAGAAGAGGTGGAGAGGGAGAGGCTGAAGGCACAGGACTGGAGGAGGGGGGAGGGCAGCTGCTCTGGGAAATGGAAGTTCAGGTGAAAGATGGTTAAAGAGGAACTTCAGGAGGTTCTTTTTGTGCGGGGTGCAATGTCATCACCCTCCTATCCCCCAAAAACATTTAGGAAAATATGGGTGAAATGGATTTCTGTCGAAGTCACCTTAAAATAATGATTTTTTTTTAAACAACCCATCTCTAATTATTTTGTTTAATTTGTTGCCTTGTTTAACACTCAGCATTTTAGGAAATTAGTAGGTATGTGATTATTAAAACATAGACCGTCTTTCTGGGCTGGTGATAGAAAAGCTGTAAAGCCGGGCAATCCATCGTTGGGTGCCAGGCTCCCTCTTCTGGTCTCTCAGGTGCCTCTTCCCATGAGTTGACCATTTATTTTCAGTGCTGGTCTCTGTTTTTTCCCCCTCTCATCCAGTTCCTGGATTTAATCTCAGAAAAAAATACATCAGATTTTTTCCTGAAATCCCAATTATATGTTTGCTGACCTCACTCCAAGTGAGATGGGAGATGTGGATGTGTGCAGGTCTGGCCTGATGGCAGGGACACATCAGTTGCAAGGCAAGAAGATATTCTCTTAGAGTCAGGTCGGTTGGCTGGAGTGCTGGGGAGGGAGGTCTTGGAGTGATGACAGAAGTGGTGCTTTTGAGCTGGGCTCTTAGAGGTAGAGTGGGAGGAGGGGCAGGTTGGCCATTCCAGAGGTGAAGTGGTGTGAGAAAAGGCAGCCCTGCTGGAAGGACTGGGATGGGCAGATTCAGAGATAGGACTGGGAAGACAGGAGAAGTGCTGAGCAGATCTTGGTGCCAGAGACAGGCTTTGGATGTTATTCAGGCAGGAACCACCAGTTCTGGGCTGGAGGGGACTGAGGACCCGTGTTCCTTGGGAGAAAACTCGTCAGTTCATTTCAGGGAAGGAGAGGATACACTTACCTTGCTGAGAATCTGCTCGTTGTTGATACTGGTTTTCAAGTCCCTTTTGATGGCCGGACACACGGACGTCTGAGTCTGGGCACAATGCTTCTCATACGTTTTCAGGAACTTTTGAAGAGTTGTAACGATGGGCAGGGGTGCTCCTTTAGTTTTTCGATTTCCTTCCTTTTCTCTTGGCATCGTTTCATAGTGTTAGATTCCACTTGGATTCTGAAGACAGTAACTTGCCCTGAAACTCAACACACAGATGTCTTTTTAAGGAGCAGATCACACTTCTCCCACTAAAAATTGGCAAGTATTGCTGCACACCCTTCTCTGAAAATCGTAAAGTGCTTCACTAATCTTAAAATGGGAGTAGGGAATCAAAATAGAGATAGTTGAGCAGAATTTTTCAATTTGCAACTTCTATATTCATAGAGCCAGGTTCTTTTTAGATTGTTTAATGGGAGCAGTACTCATGGAACTTAATTATAAAGGAACATAATTAACATTAATAGTGGGTACAAATATTTCCAAGGACATATGATTTAAAAGTGGCATAAGTCTCTTCATAGACATAGTTCTTGCTGGGCAGTATATTATAGTGATTAAGAATGAGGGGAACAGACCTGGATTTTAGTGTTATCTCCACTATGTGATTCATTGGGTGACCTTAGATAAATTATGAAGACTCTTCAAGCCTCTATTTCCCCATCTGTAAAATGGATTATGGTTGTCCTAAGCGTTAAATAAGATAAGTTTATAAAGGACTTAGCACAGTGCCTGGCACATAGTGGAAGTGCTCAATAAACTTTATTATTATTATTGATGTTCTGGCCACAAGAATCAGTACTGATATTGTTCTTTTAATTATCCAGCCTCAGAGAGTCTCAGGATGTGATAACTTAATGTAACAGTTGGGTCTCTGAACTGGGTTCATAGGTTTATAGAAATTATTAGAGTTTTCCCACCTGACAAAGTTTCTAGATAGAGACTGTCAAAAAAGTG